GACTGAGTTTAGTGGTTGAGTGAGAGGAATTCCAGCACCTCTCCCCCCAAATTTCCATTGAGATTTAGCCATCTTTGATATGGCTATATAAAGATCCCCCACCCAACTCCCTTAACCACAGGAGATTTTTATTTCTCTCTCAAAGATCTTATTGTGCTCTACTTACCCTTTTTGTGATGACATGAGAAGGTATTTAAAGGAAGTGCTTTACCACTTCTCGTCAGCATATCCAAATTGCTTGACAATATCACGTAGGGGTTATTATTAAGTAAAATAAAGATTGCTTGAACAGAATCACTGTGATATAACAACAGATCTGCTAACTCAGATGGCTATTAACTGGTGGGTAGCATATACAGCACAGATACACTGCACAAAGGGATGGTTGGTGGATGGGGCCATGTAAGATTTCATTACACTACTCAGAATGGCATACAGTTTAGAAACTTATGCTCGCTTTACTTCTGAGATTTTTCCATTTAGTATTCTCAGATGGCAGTTGACCATGGGTAACTGAAACAGAAAAGTAAAACTGCCGATTAGAGATGATTACTACACAAATGTTACCCCAGGTTCTTCTCAACTACCACCACCCCAAACAAAGGGTGCCCCTGAACTGCTTCAGAAATTCTGGCATGAAGCAGGGTCTTCGAGGAAAATTGGCAAGTTTCATTAAACTTGTGCTGGTATCAAATGATGGTAAGAAGTGAAGACCTCCAGGACCTTAACACCTGCAAATCTCGTTTGGAATCATGGCTGCTGAAGGCCCAAGGAACAATTGGTGATGGTCTGAGTTGGTGGGACTGACGTTAAGGCTGGGACAGGGGTGACCCTCTACTCTCTACTCCAGCCTAGTCCTTGGGAGGCCCAAGCTAGGGATGGCACTGTCAACGGCAGATGCCTATTGAAGGCTCTTCCTCCAAATGCTCCTTGGCCTGGGTTACTACCTGGCCGAGTGGTCGTTACTGAAAATTAGTTCTGGCTTTCAGCAGTATTTAGCATCTGCCTCCCAAGACTGGCCTTCAAAACTCCTTAAGTCCCTCCAATCAAGATCAGCAATCTTCAGCAGTTTCATCAGGAAAGAAGCCTTGTGAATATCCAGGGCAATCAGGAAAGGCTGGGGTCCTTGTGTAAACAGGACAGAAAGCCACCAGCATGCGAAGCTGGGGTGGCCTGGACAGCTCCTCCAGCTGAGCCCTCACAGTACAGCACAGCTGCAGGTCCCATGGATCCAGATATCGAGCACCCTGTCTTCACGGGCTTTTTCTGTCTGACTTTGAGTAGTAGATGAGGATTTCTCCCACACCATAAGCTGCCTTCTGCAAAACACTCAATGTCTACTGATGCTTTTCTCTGTAATGAAAGCTTTTCTCCAAATGGCACGGGTGGCAGAGTTCTTTCAAGTTTGCCCAAGTTGCATATAAATGACCACTCCGTATAATGCCCACACCGGACTTCAGATCTCATCCGACTTGACTCGCGCCATCACAAAAATGAAGGAACTCGGAGAGGTTGATGAGCTTCTGAAGGGCTGCACAGGTGTAGTGTGGAGATGGTGAGTTCCAAACTTAAGTCCCCTTTCCTCTTAAAATCACCAAGCACACAACCTCCAGGTTCCAGATTCCTGGGAGGCAGTGGACTCTCTAGTCCAGGCCAGAGATGGACATTAGTTAACGCCAACGCATCCTGCTAGGGGTGGGGGGCTCATATAAATCAAAGCACGACTTAGAAGACCAAGTCTGCCGCAGCCTGGCTGGGCACAATTCAGGAGCCACTTGTCAAGCAGAAACGAACTTTATTTTTAGAACACACACGCAGCACCACACAGCTCTTCAGGAATTCCCTCAGAGCCCAACTGCCACCACCGGCTTCAGGGGGAGCCTCTCAACCACCCCTCCTCCCGCTCTTGAGGCCGATTGGCTGGGTCGCGTGGGCGGAGCCAAAAGAGTCCCCCATTGAGCAGCTCCGTGGTCTGAAAGGGCAGGGAAACAGCCCAATGAGCATCACCGAAGAGGAGCCAATCAGCTGGCAGCTGGAAGTTTGCTGGGGCCGCTGTGAGCCAATCAGCTGGAAGTTTACTGGGGCCCCTTTGGCTGTGGCTCTCAACACAAGACACCTGTCCCTCTCCATCTCAGGTTACTAGAGGCTTCCGTGAGTCACTTCAATTCCTCAGGGCCTTAGTCTCCCCCAGGGTAACCGTGTTCCCGTCACCGCCCACACAGAAGTGAAGAAGGCACACTGGCTGACCAGGAAAGGCCCAAGACTCCAGACACACCAGGAAGAAATACTGTAGCCCCCTTATCTGGGGGTCTCACTCCCCAAGGTTCCAGCCATTCCTGGTCCACCCAAGCTTTGTGCCATCTCACATCTACTCAGGAAGCAGAGTGTCCAGCATAGTGAGATGTTTCATGGGAGAAAGAGAAAGAGACAGAGAGAGACCACATTTACTGAATGTTTATTGCAGTATATTGTTACAATTGCTCCATTGTATTAGTAGTTATCATTGTTAATCTCTTACTATGTCTAATTTACACATTCACCTTTATCTTGAGTAGGTATTATAGGAAAAAACATGGTGCATACGGGGTTCAGTACCATCTGGAGCTTCAGGCATCCACTGGGATCTCACACTGTGTCCCCCTGTAGATGACAGGATGCCGCAGCTCCGGAGACCTGTGATGCATGTGTGCCTCTGGGCTAGATCAAGTACCACTGAAATTGTCAGGCTGAGTTTCTTCTCAAAGAATATTTAGATCTAACTCATTCACCCACGTTGCTAATCACTGACTCTCTAGATAAAGTCCTCCAAAATTCTGAGATCAGGTCTTATAAAGATAGAAACAAACACAAAACAAGAGGCTAACACAAGCATCTTTACCCCACATCCAGGTCCTACTGACTCACTAGAAGTTCCCGCTGAAGAGCTTGAAAACACGTCAGCCAAACTTCTAAAAATGTAGCCAAGATGGTTTGTTTGTTAAAAGAGAGATGTCCATGGCCTTTATCAAATTATCACTGCTACGGGTAACCCTTACTAATCTTTTTTTAAAATATGTGTCCATTTTTGCAAATCTCTAAGCACAGCAATGAAATCATTCCACCTGGAGAACCCTGCCCAGCATTCAAACATGTGAGATGTCATCTTTTTGAGAAAGAGAGTTTTCACATAAGACACAAAATATATTTTAATAAAAGTAATATTAAAATATGCTAGAGTCATCCATTAAGGTTATTACAGCTTGAATTAATAATACATCTTGAACACTTTTAAACAGAAAGAAACTTCAAACCCACATGGGGTTGGGGGCGGGGTGGATTTTTGACCTAAAAGTAAAGTTCTGGAATTGAATTCTCCAACAGGCCTGGGTCTCCCATAAATCAGAGGTTTTCCAAAAATACTTTTTCTTCTGATGAGTTCGGATTTCTCTTCTACAACTAGTCTCAACTGAGGTCCAGTGAATGCCATCAGAATAAATAAGTAGTCACTGGAGAATTCATTTCCTGAAATTCACAGGCATACTAGGAGCCCCGTAGAGAGGACACGCCCCAACTTGTCCCCTACTTCCTGAAAAGGACACTGCATCTGCTTTCCTGCCTCTTTGGGAGGAAATGACTGGGAAGGACAGGGGAGTTCCAAATCAGAACAAGGGGGTTCCCCAGGTTCTCTACAAAGCGTGAGAGGAGTCCAGATTTTCTGCTCCCAGAGATGAGTGGCCCCTGCTCCGAGCTGGCTGGCTGGTGTGGCCAGGTTCCAAGCCAGGCACTGTCATACGAGCTGCCCTCAGCCAGCCTGCAGTCCCCAGCTTCTCCAGCATTGGAGGACAGACCTCCAGGACAGACCAAGACCTGGAGGGTGAGGGGATGGAATGGGGAGCAGGTGCAAGGGGAACCGTATTGTACTTCAAATCCTCCCTGAGGAATTCTCATGTCAGAGAGGTCAAGGAGGAAAGAAGTGACAAGCATCTGATGAGAAGGTCCCTTGATTAGCTTCTTGCTTTTGAGGACTGTCCAGAAGTC